TGTGGAAGAGTTCTTCCCATCTCTGCCAGCCCCAGCAGGGGCGGGCGGGGAGCTCCGAAATGGGCTGTCAGAGTGGGCTTATCAGGCCCCTAGTAACTGGCTCGTGGCGGCTGCAGGCAAACACTGGAGTTCTGTGAAGCGTTGCGCCTCGGTGGTCAGCTGCTCCTTGCGGGAGGCGCAGGAGGGCGAGGCGGTGGAGGCAGAGACAGTGAGCGCCATGGCATTGCTCTCGGTCGATACTGAACAAGGAAGCACGGACTGCAGCCCCAGGTACGGCTCCTCTTCTCGTGTCACCCGGGGCATATCGACCCTCACGCCTGCATTAGCCTCCTCCTGTGTATCCCCGCAGGACGTGTCCGTGGGCTGCCCTCAGCTGGCTCACTAGGCCACGCTCTGGTCACGTGTTCGCTGGGGGGGGAGCTCGAGTCTGGGTCTGGGTCTGGCTCTGAACTTGTCAGTGGCAGGAGGGGATAGAGCTCAGAGCCTCCTGCATCCACACAACTGGCCCCTGAGCTAAAGGGCCGTCCCTGGGAGACCACAGCTGTGCAGGGCTTAAGACCCCGAATTAACCACTTCTGCCCCGTCTAGTAGAGGGCAATGGAGCTGAACGGATCGATTCGGCCAGCTCACTGCAGTGTGACCCTGCCAGTGCATCTCACGGCTGCTGCACTGCCCCGCTGGGCACGTGCATTTCTCCTGGGCACATCCAGCTGTTTCCCACCTGTGCTTGCCCACATACGGCTCTGGGCCTGGGGAGCTCTGGCTGAGGGGAGGCCCCTTGGAACAGGGAATCTGTGGGATCCGGTTGCCTCTGGCCACTCACTAGTGACTAATAACATGGGTGCCCCAAGACCACGAGCTGAAATCTTCCAGGCTGTGGCGGAAGCGTGCTCCAGCAGCCAAGCGCCCTAGGGTCTGATCTGCGCCCTCCTGCGCCCCGTCTCCCTCTGTGTGTCAGACTCCAGCCTGCTCTCAAGGGAGGGTCAGCCCCAGTTTGTCACACTGCAGACCCCCATGCAGGATGCGGGACTGGGGTTGGTGGAGCTTTGGCTGGTTGCAAGCAGGGCTCCGCTGTCGGGGCAGGGGGAGCAAAGCTCCGCGCTCTTGGGCTGCGTTTGAGGGCCGCTCCCAAGACTGGTGAAATCATGCAAATGCCCAGTGGAGCCCCGTTTCCCTGTGCCTGGCTCAGCTCCTTATTTGTGACTCTAGGGCAGTGTTTCTTAAACTGCTGTGCCACGGAGAACAACAGAGTTCAAAATGGCTGCCCTTAAAGGGGCAGGTGACCTTCTTTTTCTCAATAACTTTCCCCCCGGCCCTTTTTTTTTGCTCAACAAAAAATCCTTGGTGTTCCTCATAAAAAAAATTATTGTTTGGTGTTCCTCGGTCTTAAAAAGTTTAAGAAACACTGCACTAGGGGCTGTACACCTATCGTCCGTAGACAATCCCTGTCCCAAAGGGCGCCCGATCACGGAGCCCAGACAGACGCATGGACAGTCAGCAGATACAGCTACTTATCACCACGCGTCGCCCAAACCTCACCCCTTTGCTAGAGGGACCCGTTTTCCAGCAGGCTGGGGGCTGAGCTGTCATCCCTGTCACCACTTCAGTTGCAGGGTGCTGAGGACTTTGAGAATCAGGCCTTTAGTTAGGTACCTAACTGGGGGCTGGGTTCTTTGGACAGCCGAGGCTCCCATTGCATGAGCTGAATGCCAGGAACTATGGGTTCCTGGACCCCAGCCTGAGATCGGTGCCCCTCGCCTGGCTCTTTTGGTCATTTGTGATTTCATTCCCCAAAAAACAAAAACAAAAAAAAGATTTTTTCTATTAAAAAGAGAAGAAAAAAAGTCACACTCGACTCCACAACAAAGCGGTGTGTGTGATTGTGTCCGTCTCCAACCAGATGAGCCCGCCAGCATCTCACTCTTGTCCCCGCACCTTTGGGAGTCACGGGTTTGGTTGGTTTTTATTTCCTTCTCTCCTGTCTTGTTTCTTCATCGTCCTTCCCTTCGAGCGACACACGGTAGCAGCCAACGAGAAACTGTTTTACTTTGGGTCCTTTCTGCTCTGTGTTCGGGAGAGAGGAGACGCACTACGACCCAGGAGATTTCAAATCCCAGCAGCAACGCCCGTCCTGTTTCCTCTCCCTCTCTCTTCTTTTCTTGTTCCCCTCGTTCGCTCACACCGAAATCCAAGCTCTGTCGCTTTCTTTCTTTTTCTAAAAAAACCCTTCACACCCGAATCCATCTTTCTGTCAATTGTATTTAAGTGTTTCTGAGACGTAAGTGACTCTGAATTCTAATGGAGGATGGTCCCTGGAGGAGGAGAAATATTCGTGCCTTTAATTAAGTCATTTTTTTAATGCCTTAATTTCCCTGTGATTTTCATTTTACTCTTTTGAGTTACCATTTCTGAGGGAGCGCTGGGGAGAGTCATGCCTTTAGTTTGATTCTCACTCAGCCTCTCTCCCCACCCTCCCTTCTTGTACCACACACACTGTGTAATGAATCTCATTGTAATTAAGAGAGCCATTGTGCATCCGTGTTCACGACCAATGCTTTCTGGAAGTTCTTTTTGTTTTGTTTTCACAAAGCCTCGTCTCGCTGTAAATAATTTGATTTCTTGTCTCATGTGCACAAAACAGTCCATTCATAAAAAAATGAAAAAGAGAAAAAAAAAAAAAAAGGAAAAAAATATTTTTCTTTTCCTGTTACTTCACCAGCCTAAGAGAACTTAGAAGGATTTTAGCTTTAAAAGAGGAAAACACAGAGGTATATAATTTTATTACAGATGTATTATTTAATAGTATTTTTTTAATTGCACCGCACATGCTTTTCCGTTGGAAAGTCAGGTGGTCGGGGCCGGAGATTTGCAACAAGGACAGAGCTGGGTGGTTTTGTTTTAAATTATTCTTCGGTGTCAGGATTTCTCAGTTTTGGGTGATGTCAGCCTCCGTGTCGTGTGTATTTTCTCTTTGGTTGAAAACTCTGCGGAGGTCCGTCCGGGTCACAGTTCCCTTTGGGTTTAATGCTCCCTGAGGTGCTTGAGTAATCTCACCCTTTGAATTCACCTTTCTGTTGTGGCCTCTCAGACACCCGCGTAGCGTGGCTGGGGCTGTGGAGCGAGGGAGCACAAGTCTGTGGGGCAGGGCTTAGCTTTGTCCTGGCGCGGGCGGTGGCACCGTGTGAACGGGGCTGCAATGCTGTGGTGGTGGGCCCCACGCAGGGCGGCAAGGGGCTGCCATGTCCCGTCGGCAGGCGCGTTTCACCCTGGCCTCCAGGAATTGGCACAGGAGGGGTCTGTGCCTCCCTCCAAGTGCCGCACAAACGAGGCCATCCGGCGAGCGCAGGACCCGGCCCCTCGGCTGCTCCGATGCTGGTTTGCCCCTCCGTAGCGGTCGGAGCATTTGTCCCAGATGCAATCCCTGCCTCTCTGCTGAGGCCAGCTTGAGCCCAGGATCTGACCCACTCTTAGCCTTCCCCCAAGGAATCATCTTGACCATCAGTGCTCTTCCTCTCCCTGGCTCAGGGGAAGCAGACAGGGCTACCTTCCCCTCCCGGATATAGCCCAGGTTGCATAGAGCAGGCTGGAATCCCCTACAACCCTCCCTAGGTTACTCCTGCAGCTCAGTGCAAGATGCCTCCCCCGCCCCCAGGCTGAGGATGGAGAGCAGAGGTGCCCCCAGTAGCCCCTGCATTCCTGAGTCGCTGGCTGAGCACAGGGCCCCGTTCTCGGTCTTACTTGCCTTCCTCCTCCCGTATTGTTTCCACGCCCAGGCAGGAGGAAGGGGCAATTCAAAGTGCTCTCAGGGCCTAAGGCTGCCCCCACTGGAACCAGAGCTAAGCCGGCCACTGGTCTCTTGTGCCACACACTGAGCTAGGACAAGTCAGCACAGTGCACACTAGTGAGCACTAGAAGGTGCCATTCGGTAGCAGGCTAAACCTGCCAGGGCAGCCCCAGGCCTGCTCACCTTGAGACCTGCCCCAGGGGTTGCGCCTCCCCAGGCTGGCCCATCGGTAAGAACCCACCCTAGGAAGAGCTGTTGGGTTGACAAGCTGCGAAGAGAGATGGACCCTCCCCGAGGGGTGAGACGGTGGCGGGGACTTCTGCAGGTTCTTCCATCTCTGACTCTCCGGCTCCTCGGCTCAGCTCTTCCCTCCAGCGTGAGGCTGGTCATTAGTACTGACTGTAGCATGGTGCAGGCCGGACAGGCTATGCAAAGCCTCTGGAGCCAGGCGCTAGCGAAGCTGCTCAAGGCCGAGTGGGCAGGGCCCTAGGTGGCTTGTTGGCAGCTGAGTTCCCCTGGCTTGATGGCTTCTTCAGGCAGCCAGCGGTGGCGGCTGGGTCGGTGTAGCAGTGAATCTAGGGCTATAGGGTTACATGCAGCTCAGGCCAGCAGTGACTGTGGGTCTGTCTACTGCCCTGTAAACCTAGATTCAAACTCCCGCTACCGGCCACGCACTGATCAGTCTGGTGTGAGTCAGCGAGCTCTGAGCCCAGCTCCGGGGGTGGGGTGTGTGAGAAGTCTCAGAGTGTGAGTCTGCACAGTGCGGAAGGGGCACGTTGGCTTGACTGTAAGTCCTGGGTCCAGCTATGGTAAACCCCGGTTTGCCGTGCAGTGTGGACGCACTAGCCAAGGCGGGAGCAGTGTAGACGTATTCAGCAGAGTCCCAGCAATGCACTGCAGCGTAGACGTGTTTAGCAGGGACTCAGCAATACAGTGCACTGTAGACTTACGCAGCAGGTCCCAGCACTGCACTGTGGTGCAGAATTATGCAACTGGGTGCCAGTTATGCAGTGCAGTGTAGAACTACACAGCAGGTCCCAGCACTGCACTGTGGTGCAGAATTATGCAGCCGGGTACCAGTTGTGCAGTGCAGTGTAGAACTACACAGCAGGTCCCAGCGATGGCAGGTTTGCTATGCAGCCTTTTGTGTTCATCTTTTCTGAGCAGGCAACACGGGGCTCTGGTCTGGGTCTTCACATCCACCTTTGGCCAGCCCTGACTGGCACCGAGCAGCGCTGGGACGTGATGTCCAAGGCAAGGTGGCGTTGACTGTTCAGTTCTGATCTGTCCACCCCGGTATAGTCCGTGCCCAGTCAGGCAGCTGTGTGGGGCAGTAGGAGGTCAGTGGGTTGTGCCAGATTCTCTCCTGGTGGAGATGTTTGGGACTGAACTTTCCTTGTCTGCCAGGCTGGCCCCCTCGTGGCAGAGCTTGCCTGTGCACAGCTGCTCAGCGCCTCTTGGCCACGCAGGAAATACGAAAGGCCCAGTGGGGATTCCCAGAGTAGGGGCTTTAGCAGGGAGAAGGGAGGCCCAGAAGGGTCTCCCTGGGGGCTGAGACGCAAACCTATGGCTGCAGGGGGCTGGGCAGCCTGAGCACTCTGGGGGCTGTGCCAAGGGGGCTGGGCAGACACTCTGCTCCA